TAGCCGCAGTTTTCTTTTACTTGTATCCAGGTTGTTACTAAACCTTTGGGATTTTTCACTTTTGCACCATCGTTCGCATCATCGCCTCCAGTTCCACTCGACGTACACGTTTGTATTCCTCGATGATCTCCCCGCGAGTTTTACCTGAGGCATCACCTGAGCCAGACCCGACCATCTTCAGGATCGATGACGCCTTCACCTGCTCACTCGAGGTTGTGGGCTCCGAGCGGCCAGTTGGTTGCGATCTAGCAATTGTGTTAACACGGTTTCTCCTGTTTCCAGCGGTGATCTGTTCAGTTGGGCTGAGACTTTCACTTGGCGGTGATGGAGTGTAGTGTCTGACATGTTGCCGTGATGCAAGGTGCCGGTCAACAGTAAGATCTGTTCGTGACGAACCTGGCGGGCTCTCCACAAGCACAGGAAGGATTCGTTTAACAGGCTCAGCTTTCCGTTGATTAGCAGCCGAATTGTTCGTCTCTACGTGGTTGTTTAGCTTCTCTTCATCACGATCTCCGCTTCCAGAATCCGGCTGTGTGTCGCGCAATGGTGGTGGAACCGCTACAAGTTGTCGACGCAGCCTTGTCTCGACAGCCCAGGATCTGGTAACTGTTGGCCGCACTGCTATCAAACTCGTTAGGGTGAGCGCAACAGAGAAAACCAGCTCGATTACAATTCGATAGCTACGTACGAGGATCTCCTGAATCAACTGCAGCAGCATCGGGAGGTGCTTTACCAGCACCAGCGTTTTGAGCTTCCATCTCCTGTTTACAACAATCTCCGTCAGTTTGTGGTGAGTTGCATTAACCAATAGGTACGCGTACCGCCTCCAGCATCCAGTTCAGGCGAGCCTCCTTTGATTGAAGCTGATTTTCAAGGGTTGTAAGCCGGTCTCGTGGTTGATCACCCATTTTTCTTTGGTTGTGTGATGTGTCATCGACGAGTTGATCTGTCGTGTTGTTCCTCTGGCGGTCTTGACGGAGCTGTCGCGTAACATTTGACTCTTCTTCACCCTTACTTAACGTGTGCTTGAGCATCTGCCTCGCTGAAAACTGTTGGGGTGACATTTTCACGATAGCTCCACCAGCGATGATAGTTTTACCATTTTTGTTATTGCTGCGCTCGTTCCTAAAACCAAAGCTGGTGAGATAGGCATCGAACACTTTCCAAGCAGACAGCAAAGTCATACCTGTCAATTCGTGACCGCTCTGCCTGCAGGAGCAACTCCTTCAGACGTCGATTTTCTTCCACTAACGCGGCATTGGAGGAGCTACCAGCTGCTTCGCTTGGTTTCTGGTTTGCTTTCCGTAGCAGCTCTCGCAGACGATTGACCTCAGCCTGTACACCAGACAGTAATTAGACAGGATGAAAATTATAATACGGCAAATACCGTCGATACATACACGCATGGCCTGGATTTGACGCTCGTAGTATAGTCGCTGTTCTCCAAGCATTTCGTTACTAAACAAGCTGCGTCGAACGGGGCGGCAACGGATAGCTTTCAGCCGCTCAGCAAACCGTAATGTGGCAAAAGACTCCTCCAAACATGCTTTAGATGGGCTGATTGTAACGATGAACGCTGTACGCCCTGATCCTTGTAGGCAAGGTTGGAGCAATCGTGTCAAGACGGAGTCTCGAAACGGGACGTGTGACCGTTCTTTCTGCGTAAGAGCCATTACGCAGTTGGTCAACGCAGATAAGCTCTTGTTGATTGAAGCCAGCTCGGTCGCATACTTGTCGGTCAGATCGCTCCCGTTCACGTGCCATTTCTCGGATCCTCTGCATTCACAGTACACTGCTGGGTGAGCGAATGCAAACAAGGACTACACTCAAACAAACAAGAGAGCAATACTCACGCTAGATCCACGAAGAAGAGTCTTGAAAGACGAGTCTTTTTTGCGTTTATCTTGCTGGATCCATCATTTGCGAGGGTCTTTCGGAGAGTGATTTGAAATACAGCGTGTCCTCGGCTGCTGAATTGGTTGTAGAGATTATCTCGGACCTCTCGATGTTGTGAGCCCTGCATCATAATTAAGGGTCATCCATATATGCAGCTAGTATTTGAAAAATACGATGCAAGTCTTACCTCTCGAAACGCTTGCAGTAGTTCAGCTTTATTGGTAACATTACGCGATGTCATGCCGTCCACAAACACTGACCCATCCAGCTTTTGCCGGATTTGGAGACCTTTTGCATCCTTAGCGCTGAGCGAGCTGTTCCAGCGAGCACGCTGCGTCGTCGACCCTTTTGTTGCAACAGCCTTGGCATCCGGTGACTTATTCCCGTTCACTGGTATTACCTCTGGTGAGAGGATGTCGAATATTTTCTCATTGTAAATCTGAGAGGAAGAATATCCGTCATTCATATACAAGGATTCTAACCTTTTTAAAAATTCGCCTCACCTCGATAAAAGAGCAATAAACGCTGAATAACGTCCCACCTGATCCTCGCTTCTCGCGCTCTATTTCGGCAAAGAGTCTTTCGACACTTCTAGGAACCACTCCGTTGTTGACTGGAACAGGACTCGCTACGTCGATATCAACACTTTCGTCACGCTGAAGCCCGCTCATAGCTGATAACAACGTACAATGAGATTCTACATGGAAGCCGGGTGTTTCAAACACATAATGCCTTACTGTATGTTTTCCCTGTTCCTGTTTGACCACTAAAACAACGGAAAAACATTCATCATCCACTTTTAGGGTCGGAAAAAGTGTATCTTAGCACCACAACCAGTAGTTAGCTTGGCAACCTACTAGGCAAACACGCTGCAATCAAACCCGGCAATTAAACCGTCGACACAATCTGCAGTACCAGTACATGTACAAGTGTTACCATTGAATCTACACCATAACCACCGACGCCAGAATACGTAACGTACCTGATACGCTGCGATATACGCTGTCTTGTGATGCTCCTTGGGTAAACACGGCGTCAGCTTTCAAGATCTTTAGCTGTCCATTCTTCTCCCAAACCACCTCGCTTTGCTGTCATCCAGATTATCCACAAGGATCAGAGCTAACTTGGAGCAGTACCGTTTAGCACCGCATATCACCTGGACGGTTATAGTCGCGGTGGAGTTCCCTTCCGTCCCACGAATGTCTTCTGCAGCTTTTGGCCATGGTTCTTCTCGCGCTTGGAGAGGTCTCACACGCACGACGACTTTCATCTTCTCATTTGCCACGGTATTGTTGTCGCAGTTAGATCCAGCGCTCATTGCGTCACCATTACCGGCCACATTGGTTACATTGACAGCAGAGCCCCCTTGTGGTTTGCCGACCATGCTTAAGGTGACCACTACTGACGCTTTTGTTTCTCCTTTTGTCCAACAGTTATCCCATGTCAAAAATCAAAATAGAAGGCGGGTATTCTTAATAGCAGACCTCCACCTCGATACGATCAATGACGTAGCAAGCATTTCCCGAGAGGCAGCAATAGGTGATCAGGCACTCAACACCCTCGTGCCTTGCGAATTGATCGACCACGTTGAAGATAATTTAGAAACGAGCGAGCTTGCCCATTAGAAACGATGTAATGTAACGTGAAGGTCGCTTCAGTGAAGCATACTAAGTTCAAGACAGATCACAATGAGGAAGGGTGCAGAAGACTTCGCAATGAATCGCTGCCAGCGACTCGCTGTCGGGCCAAGTTCAAAGCTTGTGCAAACGGACAACGGCTGGAAGCTTGCAGCAGCTCGTGCGCATAGCATTCGCGATACATTGCCGATGAAGATCTCGGGGCGACGCGCCGTTGTCGAGGCTAGGAAGATTGGCGCGAAATCGGCCAATCAGGGCCCAGTCCGCCCGAGCTCCGAAATTCGGATGAAATGGCTCGGTTGACACGAGTCCGAAGCTCTTATTAACAAGTCGCCAGCGAGCCTGCCACGCCGCGGTAAGCAATGTGATACCTAGCTGGAGACAAAGGAAGAAACGTGGAGCTTGATGCCGATTTTTGCATCATCAGCGTGCAATCAATCTGCACCGGTGAGGACAGTATCTTGTGCCCTGTCCATGCACTGCACATCAATTTCTGCTTGGTGCTTGCCACGTACCCACGGCCTCGAATCTACAGAACGCTGCTGCCGATATCCATGGATACATGTACTGGGTTCGTGAGCTCATTTCCGAATTGGCCTCTCCAGCCTCAAGTTCCTGAAACAAGCTCCCTTCTTACAATAATGGTGTCGATTGTGTCGATTAAGGCCCGCCAGATCTTTGACTCGCGTGGCAACCCGACCGTCGAGGTTGATCTCGTCACCGAGCTCGGCGAGTACCGTGCTGCTGTCCCTAGCGGAGCCTCCACGGGCGAATTCGAGGCCCTGGAGATGCGTGACGGTGGCAAGGACTACATGGGCAAGGGCGTCCTGAACGCCGTGAGGAACGTGAACGAGATCATCGCTCCCGCTCTTGTCGGCAAGGACGTGACGAAGCAGGCCGAGATCGACCGCTTCATGGTGGAGGAGCTCGACGGCACGCAGAACGAGTGGGGCTGGTGCAAGAAGAAACTGGGCGCCAACGCCATTCTGGGTGTGTCTCTCGCTCTGTGCCGTGCCGGCGCCGCTGCCAAGAAGCAGCCTCTGTGGCAGCACATCGCCGACCTGGCCGGCAACCCGACCCCGTGCCTGCCAGTGCCGTCGTTCAACATTATCAACGGTGGCTCGCACGCTGGCAACAAGTTGGCCATGCAGGAGTTCATGATCCTGCCTGTGGGCGCCACAAGCTTCACGGAGGCCATGAAGATCGGTTCGGAGGTGTACCACAACCTGAAGAAGGTGATCAAGGGCCGCTACGGCCTGGATGCCACCGCTGTGGGTGATGAGGGTGGTTTCGCCCCGAACATCCAGTCGAACGGTGAGGCCATCGATCTGATCGAGGAGGCCATCAAGGCTGCCGGCTACACGAACCAGGTGCGTCTTGGCATGGACGTTGCTGCGTCGGAGTTCTACACTGGCGCCGAAGACGCTCGCTACAACCTTGACTTCAAGAACGAGAACGCTGCGGAGTCGGAGAAGATTTCGGCTGACAAGCTGCAGGAGGTGTACGAGGGCTTCATTGCCAAGTGCGCTAACTCGAGCAAGATCGTGTCCATTGAGGATCCGTTCGACCAGGACGACTGGGCTTCGTGGGTGAAGTTCACGGGCAAGGTTGGCAAGGACGTTCAGATCGTGGGCGATGACCTTACGGTGACGAACCCGACCCGTGTGAAGAAGGCTATTGAGCAGAAGGCTTGCAACGCTCTTCTGCTGAAGGTGAACCAGATTGGCAGCATCACGGAGTCGATTGAGGCCGTGACGATGGCTAAGAAGGCCGGCTGGGGCATTATGGCCAGCCACCGCAGCGGTGAGACCGAGGACACGTTCATCGCCGACCTGGCTGTGGGTCTGAGCGCCGGCCAGATCAAGACTGGCGCCCCGTGCCGTTCGGAGCGTCTTGCGAAGTACAACCAGCTTCTGCGTATTGAGGAGGAGCTTGGCAACAAGGCTCGCTACGCCGGCGAGGACTTCCGTGACGTGGAGAAGCTCGGCAAGTACTCGACTTTCTAAGTGTCTCGTGTACACATCTGAAATGAGCTGTAGCTCTCTTTATTCGAGGGATTTTAAGGTTCAACACGTAGTTCCCGTTCTAGTTATTCATCCTTCGTTTAGTGTTGTTCATCACTTGGTTAGGCGGCCCTTCTTCATAGTGCTAGACTGGCTGCGGAAAGCGGAGTAATGCGTCGTTCCACCGTAGACCTTCCTGTCTGGAGTGAAGACGGTGAACAGGTCGGAGGTTGATTGCTGCTTTGGCATGCCGTAGGTTGCAAGCCAATGCTTCAAACTGGTGATCGTGGTGTCAGTGTACCCTACGTCTTGACCCTCGGCACTCTTCTCAATCTTTTCAGTGAGCTGATCGATCTGCTTTTGGAGGTGTAAGATTTGTTCTTGCAATCGTTGCACCTCTCCACTACGCAGGATGTTCTTGACGTGTTGAGGTTGCTCATAGTACGCAAAGTATCCTGGCCGCTTGGATGCTGTGATGGCTGCCTCCAAGTTCTTGCACGTCTTACGAGAGACCTCGTTGAATCCGCCAGGTGCTGTCAGCACGCAACAAGACGTATGTCAAGGAATCTTTCAATTGATTTCCACCCAAGGCTACTCACCATCGAGGAGTTCATTCAGCTTAGTCGACTTGGCTTTCTGCTGCTCTAGCAACTCGATTTTCTTCTTCACGAGCTCCTGCGTCAGCTCCATATCACGCACACGCCGTATCGATGTTAATGTGACGAGTACAATGAGCAACAACAATGATAGAGCTCGGGCTTCAAACATGAATCGTCCTCGCTTCTCGTCCACAACAAAAAAAGCCGCAAATAACCAGAAATGTCAACTTCAATTCTTCGTTAAAATATTCAATAATTGTTCGTTTCAAACAACAAAGATAATTCATTCAATTCTTCGACAATAATTTTAAATAGAATCACTTCGCAATGTTGCTGCTAGGATGCCGCTCTGCGACTCATTACGCGCAGGTCAAGCGCTCACAACCCTGGTTTAACAGAGCAAATTTGTCTACCAGAACAGGTAATGTGCGATGCGGCAATTATGGCACCTCCGTTTCGTCCAAGGTATTCGCGGACTACGTGCGCAAATGCGGAGTGACCAAGAAGAGGCTTCACCAGCAACTCTATCCACGAGACCAGGGGCAATGCGCACCAAAGGGGGAGTTCCCCATTGCAGTTGCTGTTTCGGGTGGCGCGGATAGCATGGCGTTGATGCTGTTGCTAAGGGAGTATCTGCAGGAGAACCAAATCAAGACTCCGCTCCTAGCGGTCACAGTGGACCATCAGCTGCGGATTGAGAGTAGCAGGGAGGCGCTGGAGGTCGCCAGGATTTGTGCCAAGCACGGAGGCATAACTCATGTTACCAAAGCTTGCGACTGGCACTCTGAAGATACAGGACAGCAGGCAGGAGAAGGACACCAGAGTGATTTGTTAACGCCGGTGAAACCAAGGGATAGCAAGATGGAGGAGCAAGCGCGGGAGTATCGATACAACTTGCTGCGGCAGGTGTGTTTGAAATACCGTGTGCAGTGTTTGTTTGTGGCTCACAACCGCGGTGATCAGCTTGAGACGACACTCTTCCGCCTCGGAAGGGCGAGCGGCATTAACGGCCTAGCAGGGATTGCAAACCAGTTGCCACTCTGTTCGCTCGATGGATTACCACATCGTTCAACTTACAGCGGAGAGTTGGAGACAAACAGCATGGTGACACTTGTGCGGCCATTGCTCTCTGTTACCAAGGACAAGCTGATGGCAACATGCGATCGATTTCAGCAGCCGTGGATACATGATCCGTCCAATGATGACCTTAAGTACGACCGCGTACGGATCCGCCAGGTATGCCAGCAATTTCTAAGTATATGCGAACAACAGCAAGGTGGCCTAAGTATTATAACCTGAGCAGGAGTTGAAGCGGGTTGAAAGGGAGCAAGGGTCCGAGATCCTGGACTTGTTCGCTAGGTTCCAGATGACTGCTGAGAAAGCCAAGAAAGAGTTCGCACGAGTCGGTACGGAGCAAAGTGCGCTATCTGTGGGCTGGTGGTTTATTCAGATTTATTTTAACGGCATTCATTGCACCCGCAGAACGAGCTATGCTTCGCAAGTGCATTGTTACTTGGGAATCAGATCTCGTCGTCCTACGCATGGCTGTTCTCCACGACCCAAACATGTTCGAGGAGCTATTGTATCGGCTTCTCTCGATTGTAATTGTGCACACCGGAAACAAGGATACACCCCCGCGCTTAGCATCCATCGCTCGCCTTGTACGTGACCTGCAGCGTTTGGATTTAGGGAAGCAGATCACGTTAGGTGGATGTCGGGTGAGTTTTTTTCCGAACGAGTATACTCGCGGCCTCACTAATGCATGTGGACGTTGTTCTGCAGATTAAACGCATTGCAAAAGGCCGCCAACTAGAGATACAGCCTGAACGCAAAAGATGAAGACCGCGTATATCATTGGTGCTTCTACAGCTTCAACATAAAAGTTACCTTTTTCTAGAACACCGACAAAATACCGGTAACCGACTATTTTGATGCTCGCTCCGCCAATCACTGCCAAACCTGGACGAGCTCACAAGTAATTGTGCAAAATGGGCAAGAAGTCTGCACCCGCCGAGGTGGCGCCCGTGCCCGGGTTCTTCGGCCACGTGGTGAGGCCTGGCCACCCGCTTAAGTGGCCGAACGAGGTCGAGGATTTTTGCATGCAGCTGAATTCTGCCGCGCTCGGTGCCGATGCGACCAAGGGCCGCTCCACGCTGTCCGTCGTGGCCAAGACGTCCAAGATTGCGCTGTGCACGTTGACGCCCGAGGTGGCCGAGCAGTGGAACTTGACGCAAACCTTCACACCAATGGACGGCGAGATCGAGTTCGTGGTGGACGGCCCGAACTCCATCCATCTCACGGGATTCATCGAGGTGGAAAACGAGGAAGACAGCGGCGACGAACACGATTTTGACGATTTGGGCGATGATGAGGAAGAAATGATGGTGTTCGGTGGTGACAGCGACTCGAGCGGTGGTGATGTCGACGAGAATGAAGAAGAGGAGGAGGAGCTGAATGACGAGAACAAGAAGAACCGCTTTGAGGTGCTCGAGGAGCGTCTTCACAACGAGTCTGATGCCAAGAAAAAGTCGCCCAAGAAAGAGGTGAAGA